GAGTGGGACAACCCGTATTCCCCTTATGCCAGTTGGGGGTTGATCCGCCTCGGTCACGTCGGTGATCTCGCCAAGCTGGCCATCGCAGCGTTGCTGATGCCGGCCGCTTGGCGGCTGGTTCGCACGCGCTGAGCGCGGTCGTTCGGCGGAACCTCGACACCGGCGCTGCCTCCGCACCGTCTCGAACTTGGCGCCGGGGGGGCCCGGCACCGCTGCGCGCCGGCTCTGACACACCGCGCATGCTGGCGACGTGAGCGACCCGGCGGTGTGGCGACGGGTGTGCGAAGCGCTCGGGATCGGATCCGAGCGGGTCCGTCGCGTCGCGCAGCGGCACACACGCCGCGTAATGGCCACACGCGACCGGCCCCCGGGAGCGGATCTTCCTGACGGTCTCCCGGCTGACGATCTCCGTGCTGACGGTCTGATCGCCCGGTCAGCCCGCGATGTGTTGTGCGTGACTATCGCCGACTGCCTGCCCATCTTCCTGATCCCTCGAGACGGGTGAGCGTATCCCGGCGCGGCTGCATCCGGTTGGCGACCTGGCGCCACGCACGGTATCACGCCACGACGCGCTCGGCTGCCTTGAGCGTCGCTTCGGCCGCTCCCCCGGCGCCTACCGAGCGATCATCGGTCCCGGCATCGGCCGTGACTGCACGTACGAGTGCCTGGCGGAGCGCTGCGACTCAGCTTCCGCGCCCGAGTCGGGCCGAGAATCTGACGACCCCGCCTGGTTTTTAGGTGCAGGTGGAGCCGGCCGCATCGACCTGCGCGCAGCCAACATCGCCCTGCTCCGGCGCGCGGGCGTTGCGGGGATCACCGTGTACGACGACTGTACGGCGTGCTCGCCCGCGCTGATTTCGTTCCGGGCCGAGCGGGCATCCGGGCGCGCCGGCGTCCGGCGCATGGCGGCCCTGCTCGGAAGGTTCGAGAGCGAGCGCCCCCGTTGTCGTACCATGGGGACAGGGACGGGAAGGGCCGCCCAATGGAAAAAACGCAATGACGCCTATACGCCGCAGGTAGATGGAGTATCATCTCGCACATCGCGCAGCAGGCAAACAAGACCCACCTGACACGGCAGCGAATTGCTCCGTATTTCACCGGACGCACCCACCGCATCGGCGAGGTGGACGACGGCGAGGCAACCACCGACTGGATGACGCAGGAACAGGAACGCGGCATCAGCATCACCTCCGCCGCAACCACCTGCTTCGGGTGACGGACCACCAGATCAACCTCTAGTCGACACCCGCTTGGGCCGTCGACTTTCACGGCCGAGGTGGAGCGTTCGCTGCGCGTGCTGGACGGCGTGGTTTTGGCGATCTTCTCGGCCGTGGAGGGGGTCGAGCCGCAGTCGGAGACGGTATGGCATCAGGCGGATCGTCACGCGGTCTCCCGCATCGCTTTCGTCAACAAGCTGGATCGGGCCGGCGCATCGTTCGGTGCGGTGCTTTTCAGAGATTGCGAAGTCATGCTCTCCGCCGCGAGCTCTGGTAGCGCTGCAGGTTGCCGTGGGGCTCAGGACGCGCGGGTGACTGTCGCGGGATCGTCGATCTGATCACGATGGAGCGGATCGCGTGGAGCGATGACGGCACCGTGATTCAGCGTTCTGCGGCGGATCCGGCCGATCCGGATCTTGCGCGGCCGCGGGAGCTTCTCATCGACGCACTTGCGGACGGTCGGACGAGATAGCCGAGCGGTATCTGGAAAGGACGCTGAGTTGCCCGCCCGCCATGTTGCGTTGAGGCCGTAGGGCGGCGGGTTGGGACCCTTCGCGCAAAAAAATAGACTGGTTGGTATCGGTGCTCGCCTGGCGCGCGCGGTGCGATCGTTAAACATCGGAAATCCAACCGCTGCTGGATGCGATTCGTAGGTACTTCCGGATTCCGGACGAACTTCCGACCCGTGCGGATCCCGCTCGACCGCGAGGGCGGGGGTGCGCTGGGGGGGGGGTGGGACCTGCGGCGTTAGCCCGTCTGGCGCGGGGCCGCCCCTCGCGCTTGCCTTCAAGCTCCAGATATCGACCGCGAAAGCGGGGCCCTGGGAGCTCATCCGAGTCTATTCGGCCACCTTCGTCGCGCGACACCTGCTGAGTGAACCGCAGTCGAGGACGATCGCATACGCGAGCGGATCCAGCGCCTGCTGCGAGCATCTGACATCGCGTAACCGCTGCTGAACAGATCTCGAATCCGTGTTGAGCAGCCGTGGGACATCGCCGTGGCCGTCGGATTGAAGTTCACCCGCAGGCGACACGCTGAGGCGTCCCGGCAGGCGTGGCAGCGAAGCGGAGTGGCTGCGTGTAGAGCTGAGCATGGCTTATCCGCTTCCGGTGGTGTCGGTGGCCGTGGAGCCGCATTCGGCCACCGACGCGGCCGAGCTGATGGCCACTCGCCTGCAGTCGTCTTTGCACGGCTGAGACCCATCGTTCGCGACGTTAGAAGACCAAGGAGGAGAGCCCTTTTGGGACAGCTGCTCCCTGGTCTCAGGATGGGAGAGCGTGCAATCGGACGATTGCGTGATGCTGCTAGGATCTGCCGAGCGTACCGGGATCGACGCCAACGTCGCCAAACCGCAGGTTGCCTTCCGGGAATCGGTCGCAGGTGCGGTCGAGCATCACGTGCAGTTCGAGCGGGAGATCGGCGGGCGGCCGCACCACGCGGGGGTGGGTCTGCGCGTCGCACCGCGCAACCAGGGCGGCGAGTGCACCTACGATCCCGGCACGATCCCGGCGGCCGCGGGCCTTCCCGAGGAGCTGTGTGCGGCGATCGCACGCGGCATCGAAGCAGCCTTCTCCTCCGGCCCCGGATTCGGATACCCGATGGTCGACGTGTCGGTCGAGCTGATCCACTGCGACTACGATCAGGAGCGCGCCAGCCAGTTCGCGTTCGAAGCCGCCGCTGCAACCGGGTTCGTCACCTGCTGCCGCAAGGCTGCGCCGATCCTGCTGGAGCCGGTGATGAGCGTGGACGTCACCACTCCCCAGGAGTTCGTCGGCGAGGTGCTCGGCAGCTTGCAGATGCGGGGCGGTGCCATAGAGACGGTGGAGTCGGGCCACGCCGCCGAACGCGTCAGCGCCAAGGTGCCGCTCGGGGCGATGTTCGGGTACACCACAGATCTGCGCAGCGCCACCCAGGGCCGCGCCGCGTACACGATGGCGTTCGCCCACTACGCACCGTCGTGCAAGAGCTGAAGACGCCCCCCTGACCGCGATTCCCGCGAGTGTCGGCGCTGACAGCGCAATACCCCCTGCATAGCGTCGCCGTCCAGAGTCCAGCCCGGAGCATTACCCTATGAGCGTCCCCACAGACCGAATTCGCAACGTCGCCCTGGTAGGCCACAGCGGCACCGGCAAGACCACGCTGATGGAACAGATCCTCGTCCACGGCGGCGTGGTTCCCAGGTTCGATCCCGGAAAGTCCGTCAGCGACTGCACGGAGGAGGAGATCGCGCCCGCAAGATCTCGATCTACAGCGCCTTCGCCCACTTCGATTGGGATGGCCGCAAGGTCAACGTCATCGACACGCCCGGTTCCGGCGACTTCATCGGCGAGGTGGTAGCCGCCCTGGGTGCCGCCGAGTGCGCGATCGTCGTGGTCGGCGCCGACGTCGGCGTGCAGATCGAGACGGCAAAGCTGTGGCGGCGCATGGAACGCGAAGGGTTGCCCCGCATCGTTTTCGTCAACGGCATGGACAAGGAGCACGCCAACTTCGACGCCGTGTCTGGAAGACCTGAGCGGCACGCTCGGGGGGACCTTCGTGCCGCTGACCGTGCCGATCGGAGCGGGAGACTCCTTCGAAGGGATCGTGGACGTGGTCGGGCGGCGTGCGGCGCTGCGCGCGCGCAACGGCGACGCTCCCGTTCCGGACGGGATGAGCGACGCGGTCGAGGAGCGGCGTCTGGCGCTGATGGAAGGGCGCGGCGGAAGGTGATGACGCCCTGATGGAGAAGTACCTCGAGGACGAGGCCCTGTCCGACGAGGAAATACTGAGAGGGCTGACGTCAGCCGTCGGAGCCGGCCAGGTGTTCCCGGTGCTGGCAGGATCGCCCTGCACGACGCGGGCATCGCTCCCCTGCTCGACGCGATCGTGCGCACGGTGCCGTCGCCGGCCGGCGCGACGGTGCAGGCCGACGGCACCGGCCTGACCACCGATCACAGACAACACGTCGACCCGTCCGGGTGCGGCGTTAACCGCGCTGGTGCTGAGACGAGCGTCGTACATACGCCGGGCGGTTACGCGTCGTACCAGACAATAAAGGTCATCACCGGCGGCCTGCGCTCCGATGCAGATCTGATCTGCGCACGTACGGGCGCCAAGATTCGGCTGAACAAGCTGAGCACGCGCCAAGGCGAGAAGCTGAAGGATGTGCAGGAGTTGTCGGGCGGGACAATCTGGCGGCGATGACAGCTGTAACGATGTCGCCTACCAATCCGACACTACGCTGCATCGTCGTCCGAGGCAAGGCGTCCACCGTCCGTGCCGCCGGACTTCCCGCACCCGGTGCACGCGCTCGCCCTGCGGACGGCATCCAAGCAGGACGAGGACAAGCTCTCCGAGATCATCGGCAGGACCGCGGATGCCGATCCGACCTTCCGCGTCCGATACGACGGCGAGACCCGGGAGACCGTGGTCGCGGCGATCGGGGAGTTGCACCTGGCTGTGGTCCTGGGCCGGATCCGCGACAGCCACAAGATCGAGGTGGAGACCGAACTGCCCCGCGTCGCGTACCGCGAGACGATCACCAGGCCGGCCGCCGCCGACTATCAGCACAAGAAGCAGACCGGCGGACACGGCCAATACGCAGGTCTCGCTCCAGATCAAGCCCCGGCCGCGAGGTGAGAAGTTCCGTTTCGAGAACGGCACCGTGGGCGGCTCCATCTCCCGCGGCTACATCCCGGGGGTGGAAAAGGGCGTCCTGGAGGCGCTGGAGTCGGGCGTCCTCGGCGGCTACTCGGTGGTCGACGTGGAGGCGAAGGTAGTGGACGGAAGGGAGCACTCGTGCCGACTCCGCGAGCTGGCCTCACAGCTCGCAGTGCGCGGGAGGCGACCAAGGCGGCGCTGGCACAGGCCAAGCCGGCGCTGCTGGAGCCGGTCGTCGACCTGGTCGTGCTGAGCGACGATCAGTACCTCGGTGACATTCTTTCCGACCTGAGCTCACGGCGTGGTCGCGTGTTGGGGCAGGAGCCGGTCGAGTCGCTGCAGGAGACCCGCGCACAGGTACCGCAGGCGGAGATGCTGCGCTACTCCATCGACCTCAAGTCGATGACCTCCGGCACCGCGTCTGTTCATATGACCTTAGCCACTACGCTCCTATCCCTCATCCGGCGAGTGTGCCGATGACTTTTATTCGCGCCCGCCATATCAGTCGTGGGACGAAGACTGACGAATAATCACCGAAGCCTCGGCGGGAGCAGCCGAGATTACCTATCAGCGATAGGCTGTTGTCTGGATACGTTTCCGCTTACAGAACAGCCGCTTACAGAACAGCCGCTTACAGGAACAGAACGCCTGCCAGCAGGAAGTGGATGACGCCGACACAAGAACCAGACACCTGAAACAAAGCGAATTGCCGCCCAACCCGGCAAAAGAAGGATCCGATACGGCTTCAGCGCGTCATCGATCTTGGCGATTCCGGTAGCGCCGGCGTCGGACGATCCCGCAGTGCCGGTGCACTTCGTCCGCTCCGTCTCACGCTCCGGCCGCGACCTGATCGGCGCCGGCGCCCGGCACCTGCCGTTCGCGGCAGCGGTCGATCAAGAGAGCATCGCTCCCAGCAGCATGCCGGCGATCGCCGGCAGGAAATCGCCGACGATGATCACCTGACCGGGCGCGCGCGCGAAGAGCTTCACGATTCCCACCACCACGGCGATGGCGCCCAGCGTACCCTTGGCTCGGTTGCTCGCCGCGAAGCGCCGCAACGGCTCCAGAACGGGCACCCGGTCCACCAAGTGATCCGCCGCCGCCACGTCGCACAACGCAGTCGATGGTGCTCAACAAGCAACACCGACAACAGGTAGATATGCACGCCGAAAGGGTAGCGCCACGCTCCCGCCGGGTCAACAACGAGACGCAGCGTCTACAATGCGGAACGGCGTGAGCTAGTCGGGATCGACAGGATCGGCTACCACCCGCGACACCGCCGCGGGGAGCTCCTCAGCCAGGAACCAGCCTCGTTCGCGGTACCGGCGGCGAGCCGCCACGGCATGGATCAACACCCCGGCACACGCCGCCTGATAGGGGCCAAGCCCGGCGGACCGGCCACAGAGGCGCCTATCCCTGCCAGCCAGACCTGGCAGCTTTTTCGCGCGCGCTCAAAGACCAGCTCGACCAGCCCAAACACGGCTGCATGCCGTCCACGACGGTCAGCCGCGGCGCGGTGACATCGTTCGCTTCGTCGGATCCGCCAGGTGCGGCGACACAGGTCACGTGACCCTTCAGTACGACGACCGCACCGAAACGTGCGGCCACCTCGCCCGCCGCGACGGCGGGATCGGCCAGCACGTCGGCGACGGTGGCATCGAGCAGCCGCGACCTAGCTCACCTATTGAGTGGTGAATCAGCACGTTACCAGCCGAGCGAAACAGCCAAGCGGTGCGGCGCAAAAGAGGTGAAACTACCAGCACGAAGCAAAACCAAAAATCGGCCGATCAACGTAGATCGCATCGCGGCATCCAGAGCACACCCCACGCAGGTCCGGCAGCTCCAAAGCAGCCGTTCCAACCACTCCGCGCGAGCCGGCCCGGTCCCCCATCCCGGCCCCACCACCAGGCTGTCGAATCGCCGGGTGAGCTCGCCTGGATCCACGGCCTCCGACCACGGAGCGACCATCACCGAAGTGAGCGCCGCCGCCTGGATCGGGTGGGTGTCGGCATCGGCGTGCAGCGTCACCCAGACCGCGCACGCGGCTGCACCCGCGTGCGGTCGCTGTGCCAGAGCGGCGCCCCGCGCGAGCCGACTGAAGCGAGTCCAGGACCGCTACGTGCCCGCGCATCCCCTTGTGCGCGTCGGGTCGCACGGCCGGGAGCAACGATGGCAGCGCCGCGGGGCCGAGCAGCCGCGCGGTGGCGCCGGCGATGCCGGTGAGCGCCGCGGGAAAGCCGATCGGGACGACGATGATGCTGCCGCAGGCGGGACGCGCGGCGGGCAGGTAGAGCGCCCGCTTCGGCAACTCCAGCGCCAGCGTCCAGTCGGCGCGGACCGACGGCATGCCGGCCGCGAAACGATCTCCCACGCCGCTCGGCGCATCGAGGGCGATGACCCGCGCCCGGCTTCGGTTGATGCGCTCCGCCAGCGCCGCCCAGGCCGCCGTGCAGCGCTCCGCGCTGGCCGGTGCCGGCCATGCCGTCGATCACCCATCCGCACTCGAACGCGCCGTCGGGTCCGTCCACCACGGGGATGCCGAGCGCCCGGCAGATGGCCAGATTGGCCGCGCACTGGCTTCCGTTCGCAGGTTCCCCGTGGCTCAGAAGCACCGTCAGGTTCTGCGCACCGATGGCGTGCAGCTGGCGAGCGATCACCAACGCGTCGCCGCCGTTGTTGCCGCGACCCGACACGACGTGATCGGCTCCTTCGGAACCGGCCGGTGCCAGATCCGCTGTTGCATCGCGCCGAGCGCCTTGAGGCCGCATTCTCCATCAGGATCGGCGACGGAATACCGAAGCGCTCCTCGGCCGCGCGGTCGATCTCCCCCATCTGGAAGGAATCAACCAGGCGCAACTCGCCTACGTCCGCGCCGGTCAGCGCCGTTTGCATCAGGAGGTCGGTTCTCCACCAGAAGAAATCCACGTGTTCCGGCCCGAGCCGGGCACCGTACAGTACGCCATCCACCGCGACCTGCAACTCCGAGAGCTGCAAAACTCCGAGAGCTGCAAAGCCGGATCTTGCAGGGATAGCTCGACCTGCGCCAGAGGCCGGCCGTCCAGGTCGGTGATGGTAAGCGAGCGCGATTCGATCCGTCGTCGACGACAGCGTATGAGATGAAGAACAGTCGACTGTCAGCGCTGCCGATCAGGCGGAACGGCGCGGAGCGCGAGCGCGGCGCCGCGAACGCCCGGCTCGGGGGCCCGTCGCCGCTCACCCGCCAGATGTCGGAGCCCCCGTCGGGCTGCATCCCCTGCATCACCGCCTCGACCAGGAGATGCGGCGGACCCCGAGGATCGGCGATCACGGAGGCGATCTCCACCGCTTCCGGGCCGTCGGTGAAATCGGCGACCTCAAGCCGGCGCCGGAACCTCAGCAGCCCCTCCGCGTCGAACCAGTACACCTGCCAGGCAACGGTGTCGCGGGTGACCACGAACAGCTCGTCCCGCGCGGTGACACCAGGCGATGCACGAACCCGAACGGCGTACCGCTCACACCCTCCCTGCCCAGGTACCCCCGGTCGGCGCCGGTGCGGTCGAATCGGGCGCACGACGTGGCTGCGCGTCACCTCGTCCTCCGTCTGCCAGTCGTCGGGCGCAAGCCGTTCCTGCACGTACATCGTCCCGTGTGAGTCGGCCGCCACCCGTCCCAGGACGCCCAGCGCGCGCCTGCTCGCACGGCGCGTGGATACGGTGTCCGGTCCCGCCTCCGCCAAGCCGACGGGCTTCGGATTCAACCGCGGGTCGTAGAGGAGCAGCAGCAGGTCCCCGCGCGAAGAGAAGCGCATCACCTTGCGCACCGGGGCGTTGACCACATGGAACTGACCACCGGTGAGCGAAAAGCGAATGCCGGCCTGCTCGTAACCGGGGCCGATCTGCACCTGGTCTTCCAGTGGTCCGACCGACAGCCTGAACAGCTCCTGATACGTCACTTCAGCCGCGCGGTCCGCGGCGCATCCCGCCCACCCTCGCAGCCGCACCGCCAAGCCTCCGCGTCAGCCTGAAGCCGCGCTGCGTGCGCCGGCACGAGCCTCTCAAGGAGTCCGGCGGAGCTGCCGCTTGCGCGGCACGCCCGCCGGACTCCTTGACCGTCGTTTCCAACCGTCGATACACTCGGATCTATGCGGGGTTTCCTGTCCGCGTACTCGGCTCAAAGTCCAACCGCGACCTGACTTGGCGCGTCAAGGCTCTGGTTCCGTTGGTGAACCGGATCAACGAGCTCGAGTCGCGGATGGTCGCTCTCTCGGAAGCCGACTTTCCGGCGTGGACCGACAAGCTGCGAACGCGCCTCGAGTCCGGTGAGCCGCGCGCCCGGATCCTGCCGGAGGCGTTTGCGCTGGCACGCGAGGCAGCGCGTCGGCAGCTCGGCGAGCGCATCTTCGACGTCCAGCTCATGGGCGGCATCATCCTGGACCACGGCGCGATCGTCGAGATGAAGACCGGTGAGGGCAAGACGCTGGCCAGCGTGCCGACCGCGTATCTCAATGCGCTCTCGGGCGACGGGGTGCACATCGTCACGGTCAACGACTATCTGGCCGAGCGCGACGCAGAGTGGATGGGCCGCGTGCACCGCTACCTTGGCCTGAGCGTAGGCGTGGTTCTGTCGCGCATGGAAATGCGCGAGCGCATGGAAGCCTATGCCTGCGACATCACCTACGGCACCAACAACGAGCTTGGCTTCGACTACCTGCGCGACAACATGCGCTGGGATGCCGACGCACGCGTGCAGCGCGGTCACCGGTACTGCATCGTGGACGAGATCGACTCGATCCTGATCGACGAGGCGCGCACCCCACTGATCATCTCCGGGGCGGCCGAAGACGATACCGAACGGTTCGCGCAGGTCGATCGGCTGGTGGACGCGCTGCGCGAGTGCGCGAAGGACCCGGAGACCGACGACTATCCGGAGGAGCCGAGCGGCGACTACAAGATCGATGAGAAGGGCAAGCGCGTCTCGTTCACGGATGAAGGACTCAACGCAGCCGAACGGCTGCTGCGCGGCAAGGGCCTGATCCGCGGCGGCTCACTGGTCGACGATGAGAACTTCGAGTACATCCACTATCTGACGCAGGCGTTGCGCGCCCATCGGTTGTTCCAGAGCGACGTCGACTACGTGCTCGAAGACGCAACCGTGCAGATCGTGGACGAGTTCACCGGGCGCATACTGCATGGCCGCCGCTATTCGGACGGCCTGCACCAGGCGATAGAGGCGAAGGAGCGCATCCCGATCCTCAAGCGCAACCGGACGCTCGCCTCCATCTCGTTTCAGAACTACTTCAAGCTCTACGACAAGCTGTCCGGCATGACCGGCACCGCCGACACGGAGGCGACCGAGTTCAGCAACATCTACGGCCTGGACGTGGTGGTCATACCCACCAATCGCCCACTGGTGCGGGCCGACCATGACGACGTGATCTTTCTCAACGAGCAGGACAAGCTGGCGGCGATCTGCGACGAGCTGGCCGCCTGCCAGAAGGCGGGACAGCCCGTGCTGGTCGGCACTGTCTCCATCGACAAGTCCGAGCAGCTTGCCAGGCTGCTCCACGGCCGGGGGGTCGCCCATGAGGTGCTCAACGCCAAGGCGCACGCGCGCGAGGCGGTGATCATCGCGCAGGCGGGGGCCGAGGGTGCGATAACGATCGCCACCAACATGGCCGGCCGCGGCACCGACATCAAGCTGGGCGGCAACCCCGAGTATTCGGCCCGCCGGCGGCATGCCGCCGACGGCGGCAACGGCCACGGCGCCGAAGAGCGGTTCACGTCCATCTACGAGCGCGAGCTCAAAGACTGGCAGCCCCGCTACGACACGGTGCGCGGCGCCGGCGGGCTGCACGTGCTCGGCACCGAGCGCCACGAGTCGCGCCGCATCGACAACCAGTTCCGCGGCCGCTCGGGCCGCCAGGGCGATCCCGGATCATCCCGCTTCTACATCTCGCTCGACGACGACCTGATGCGGCTGTTCGGGGACAACCTGCGCAGCATGATGTCGAAGGTGGGCATGAAGGACGGCGAACCGCTGGCCCATCCGTGGCTGAACAAGTCGATCGCTCGCGCGCAGAAGCGGGTCGAGGAGCGCAACTTCGAGCTGCGCAAGCACCTGCTGGACTTCGACAACGTGCTCAACGAGCAGCGCAAGTACATCTACGGCAAGCGCGACGAGATCATGGCGGATACGGATCTGCTTGGCCGGGTACTGGAGACCGCCACGGAGGCCGTCGAGGACCTGACCGGTGCCGCCGAATTCTCCGTAACCGGGACGCTCTCGGCGCTGCGCTCACGGTTCGGATTCCTCATGCCGGACGGGGAATCGGGGTTGGCGGATCTGCGCGGCGGGGCTGCGCGATGTGTTGGTGGACGCCATGAGCCACCATCTGACCGAAAAGGCGGAAGTGGTCGGGACGCCCAACTTCAATCTGTTCATCCGCTACGAGTACCTGCGTCTGATCGACGCGCGCTGGCAGGATCACCTGGAGAATCTGGACTCGTTGCGCGAGGCGGTGTACCTGCGCACCTACAGTCAGAAGAATCCCTTGCTGGAGTACAAGCTGGAGGGTTTCCAGATTTTCGACGAGATGCTCTCCGGCATTCGCATCGCGATCGCGGAGAAGGTCTTCCGCGTGACAATCAGAGCGGGCGACGGCACGTCCGGCCCGGGCCCGACATCGCGCAGATTGCAGCCGCAGGGCATGGCGACCGTTCACCGCGAGATGGGCCAGTTCGCGGCGATGCCGCAGCAGGGCGATGCCCCGGCCGCGGCGACGATGCCCGCCCGCGGTGCCCAGCCGCCCTGAAGGTCCCGGCAGGCGGCGACGCCGGTCGGCGCGGCAGTCGCCGTGGCATCACCGGCCGGAGCCGGGCCGGCGCTGCCGGGTTCGCCGCCGCCGCCGGCCGAACGGAAGCTCGGACGCAACGATCCGTGCTACTGTGGCAGCGGCAAGAAGTTCAAGTTCTGCCACGGCCGCTGACGAGCCGCGCGGGCATCACGACCTCATGCAGATCCTGGTAACCAACGACGACGGCCCGGCTTCTCCGCTCGTGGCCCCGCTGATCAGGGCCGCGGCGTCGCTGGGGACGGTGACGGTGGTCCTGCCCGCCACCGAGCGAGCGGAGCTGGACCGCGAAGGCGATGACCCGCGCACGCGACCTGCACGCTTGCGACGCGCGACCACCCGGATCGCGACGGCAACGCCGTGAGCGGCTTCACCCTGGGCGGCACGCCGGCCGACTGCGTCAACGCCGGTTGCTACCTGCTCGGTCCCCGGCCACCCGATCTGGTGCTGTCCGGCGTGAACGCCGGTGAAAACACCGGTGTCTCCTACGCGGCCGGTTCCGGCACCATCGGCGCCTGCCTTGAGGCCAACATCGCGCTGGTCCCGGCGATCGCCCTCTCGCAGCAACTGACCCCGGCGGGATTCGCGAGTTGGGCCGCGCGCGGGCCGCCGAGCCGGGAACCGAGCTAGGAGACGCGCTCGCGCAGCTCGACCGCTTGCTGCCCGCGCTACTCGCCGATCTGCTGCCTCGGGCCGATCGCCCGGGGGAACGCGAGCCCGGTTACCCGCTCACCTGGAGTGTGAACATCCCGTCGCGGTTGGCGCCGGATTGGCGGCTGGTGCCCTGTGCGCTGGAGCGCGCGCGCTACGGCTCCTGTTTCGAGCGGCATGGCACGCGACGTGCTTCGACACGCGGGGGCTGCCGCGATCCGCAGCCCGGACCGCGGCGCCGACATCGACGTGCTTGCGAGGGGATCCGTCAGCCTGACCCGCATCGATCTGTGGGCCCTGGGCCAAGAGGTTGTCCCCGACTGATCGGCCGCGAAGGTTGCGAGCCTATGGGCTGGCCCGTTACAGGCCGGGCACCTCCGAGGCCGGATTGATCGGCTGCCGCCGGCTCCACAACTCGAAGTGGAGATGGGGGCCGGTGGACATCCCGGTCGATCCCACGCGGCCGATCGTGTTGCCGGTGCTCACCCGCTCGCCGACGCGGACGTGGACGGCCGACAGGTGCGCGTACAGCGACTGGTACGAGCGCGCCTGATGGTCGAGCACGACGAAGTTCCCCAGGACGTTGTTGCTCGCCACCCGCTCGACACGGCCGTCCGCGGCCGCACGGACGCGCGTCCCGCGCGGCGCGGCGATGTCGATACCGCGATGCATGCGCCACTTGCCGCTGAAGGGATCGACGCGCATCCCGAACGCGGAGCTCACCCGGCCGCCGTGCAGCGGCCGGTCGAACCCCAGACCCATCCTCAGCAGACGCTCCAGGCCGGAGTGCTGGGCACCGGGGAAAAACAGCGAACCGCTGACCGACTGGGCGTCGACTCCGGGATTGGCGGCCAGCACGTCGCTGCCCGCCAGGCCGTAGCTGGCGGCCACGGTCTCCAGGTGATCCCGGCTTTCCACCTCCCGAAAGAGCCCGTCCTGATTCGGGATGGCAAACACCTCGCCAACGCCGACGTTGTGGACGCCCGAGCCGGCGTCGCGATTGAGGCTGGACAGCGTGTCGAGCGTGAGTCCGAACCGGTCCTTGATTCTCGACAGATTGTCGCCCGGCTGCGCCACGTAGCGCATCGTGGCGATGGGCAGCGGCCACGCTGCCGACGCCGCGCCGCCGGCCGGCAGGACGGCCGCAGGCACCGCATGCGGCTCGTGCAGAACCTCGAACCATCGATCCGGCAGATGCAGGTAGTACGCGCGCTCAAGGGTGGCGACCTTCGTCAGGTACAGTCCGCCCGATTGCGCGGCAATCAGGATGACCGACAGGACCATGATCCCTATCGGCAGGATTCGATCTGTACGCCCCTCCACGAGCGCATGAGATGCTAGTGCAGATAGCGGCTCGGGTCAACAGGCTCGCCGGCTTTGAAGATCGAAAAGTGCAGGTGGCTGTAGTCGCCGTAGCCGGCGGACCCTATCGTAGCGATGACTTGGCCTTGGGCGACCATGCTGCCGGCCGACACGTGCGCGCGTGACAGATGCGCGTAGAGCGTCTGGTAGCCGTCGGCATGTACCAGGACCAGATAACGCCCGTAGTTGCCGTTGACCCCCAGGCGGCCGACTCGGCCGGCCATGGAGGCGATGACGGGTGTGCGGGCTTCGTACTCGATGTCGATGCCGTCGTGGAAGCGGCCGATGCCGGTTACCGGGTCAGGATGATACCCGTACGGAGTGGTGATCGTCCCGGGCGCCGGCTTGAGGAACAGGCGACCGAGCACGGCGTTTCGCTCGTGATCCGGAAGCGAAACGCCGGGTATGAACAGTTTCTGACCGACGTCGATCGCAGACGATCGCAGGTCGTTCCAATCCAGCAACTCGGTCAGCAGCACCCCGTGCCGGGCGGCGATGTCGGTCAGCGTATCGCCCGAACGCACCACGTAGGCCAAGCCCGACGCGCTCGGTATGGACAGCTCCACGCCTTCCCGCAGCTCGCTTACGTCGCGGATGCCGTTGAAGCTGATCAGGGTATCGAGGTCGATGTGGAAGGTGTGCGCGATCTCCGACAGCGAGTCGTCGGCCTGCACCCGGTACGATCGCAATGACAGGGACGGAACAGATGAACTCGCCTCCACCCCCTGCGGGCGCGGAGCAGGTGTCACCATGTCCCGGTAGAGGAGGGTGTCGGCGTCCCCAGGACCGGACAGCGTCAGCTGTTCCTGCGGCCACGCCGCGGCGATCACCAGGCTGGCCGGCACGACCGCCGCGCCCGTGGCCAGCGCGGCGATCACGGCGGGGCGCAGTCGACCGTGGAGCCGGCCGCGCAGCCGGCTCCACCACCGAGCAAACAGAGGAACGCCGCGCTCCCGGCCGCCGGCATCCGCTGTCTCGGTCGCAACGATCATCAACTGCGCGGCTCTGCACGGGCTGAACACGATGGGTCCGTCGATCCCGGCTCGGCGCGGACGGGGCTTGGGGGCGTTCTGACTCCTGAGCTCGCGCACGAACGCGGCGCGGACCGGTCCGCGTGCGGCGATTTTCTGTCGGTGCAATGCACGTACCACGTCATCTGTATCGACAGATCCGGAGGCACCTATTACACTTGCTTGGGACTCGACGGCACCGATGTTGGAAGCGCGCGAACGCTACCGCATGTGGACAGTGATCATCGGCCTGGGCGTCTTCGCCGTGGCGATCGCGGCACGGTTCGTCTGGCTGATGATCGTGCAGCCGATGCCCGATCCGCGCTCCGCAGTGCTCCCCGCCGACGTCGAACGCGGCCCGATCCTGGATCGAAACGGGCGCCTGCTGGCGATCACCACGCGTCTCGATTCGGTGGAGGTGTGGCCGGCGGACGTGACCGACCCCGCGGGGACCGCCGCAGTGCTCAGCGAGGTGCTCGGGCTCGACCGTTCCCTATTGGAAGACCGGCTGCGGAGCGAAACCCGCGTCGCCTTTGTCAAGCGCCAGATCAGCCCGACGCAATCGGCGGAGTTGCGGGCCTACCTGCAAGCCGGAGAGCTGCGCGGCGTGTCGCTGAAACCCGAGTTCGGGCGCGCCTATCCGGAGCAGGAGCTGGCCAGCCATGTGCTCGGCTTCGTCGGGGTCGACAATGTCGGACTGGCGGGGATCGAGAACACCTTCAACCACGTCCTGTCTCCGGCGGTCATCCGGCGGGGACAGCAGGTCGTGCGCGGTCATCAGGTGGTGCTGACCATCGACCTGAACGTTCAGTACGCGATCGAGCAGATCGCGGTGCGCGCGCGCACCGCGCATCGCGCCGACTGGGTGACGATCCTGGTCATGGAGCCGAACACCGGCGAACTGCTGGCCTACGCCACGTCACCGCGTTACGACCCCAACTCCTTCGGTAGGACCGCTGAGGAGACCCGCACCAACCGCCCCGTCGCGGTCGCCTACGAGCCCGGGTCGGTGTTCAAGGTGTTCTCCATCGCGTCGCTGCTCGAGCACGGAGCAGTGACACCGGACGACACCTTCTCCTGTCACGGCCACGTACACCGCCGCACGCCGCGGGGCGGGACCATCCGCATCACGCGACCTCCGTGCCCACGGCACGATCACCACCGCGGACATCATCAAGTATTCGTGCAACGCCGGCGCCGCCTACGCCTCCGATCGAATCGACGACGAGGGGTTTCATGCCGCGCTCAGCGCGTTCGGGTTCGGCGCTCCGGCCGACCTGCCGTTCTACGGAGAGACCGCCGGCATCTTCCACTGACGTCGACCGCTGGTCGCTGCGCTCCAAGCCGACCGTGGCGATCGGCCAGGAAGTCGCGGTGTCGGCGGTGCAGATGGTGCGCGCGGCCAGCGTGATCGCCAACGACGGGATGATGATGCGGCCACAGATCGTCCGTCGAGTGGTCGCCGCCGACGGCACCACCATCAAGGACTTTCCGCCCGAACCGCTTCGGCAAGTCGTGAAGCCCGAGATCGCCCACACCGTGCTGGCGATGATGGAACGGGCGACCGAGCCCGGCGGGACGGCCGTGCTGGCACGCGTTCCCGGTCTGCGCGTATCCGGAAAGACCGGCACCGCGGAGCTTCTGGACGAGAGCACCGGCACCTACTCCGAGGATGCGGTGATCGCGTCGTTCCTGGCTATCGCGCCGACCGATGACCCGCGGGTGATCTTCTACGTCGTGATCAACAATCCGCGCGGACCCACGCGCTACGGCGGCCTGATTGCAGCTCCCCTGTTCGCGGAGGCGGCGACGTTCCTGGTGCCGTACCTGTCGTTGTCGAACGCCGACACGCGGCGCGTGCAATACGCTGCGAGCGCCGTCACGGAGCAGGCGCCGCCCATCTCGCCGGGCGCGACCGTGATCGGCGACTATCGAGGCATGCCCAAGCGCAGCCTGTTGCCGCTGCTGAGCGACAGCCGATTGCGCGTGCGCCTGATCGGCAACGGCTTCGTGCACGCACAGAGTCCGCCGCCGGGCACGCCGATTACCGATGGCCTGGAGGTGCGGATCACCCTGCGCTGACAGCGGTGTCCCGGATCAGCCCGACCCTGTACGCACTCTCAGATGCCGCGTTTGACGTTGGTGAGCTTCGTCCGCAGCCGCAGACGGGCTTTGGTGTGCAACTGTGACACGCGTGACTCGGTCACCTCGAGCACCTGCCCGATCTCCTTGAGGGTCAACTCCTCATAGTAGTAGAGGGCGAGAACCTGCTGCTCGTTCTCCGGCAGCTCGTTGATCGCCTCGACGATCACCCGCTCATCTCTTCCCTCTCGGCGATTGTCGCGGGACCCGATTCGCTCGGCGATTCGATGTGTCCTCGATGGAGACGCGATCTCGTCCTCGCCGCCGTGCCACACGTCGTCACACCGATACGACCGCAGTGCCGCGCGATCCGATACCAGAATCCGCTGGAATTCCTCCACGCTGACACCCATGCTGACGGCGATCGTGCTCAGCGGTGCGCAGGCAGCGCGCCCCGGCTTGCTCAGCCGCGGACACGCGTCCTCCACCTCGCGCGCCTTCTGCCGGACGAGCGCGGCACAGTCGATCGCGCGCCAGCTCGTCGAAGATCGCGCCCCGATGCGATGACCGCGTAGGTCTTGAATTCACGTGCTTGGTGGATCGAACTTGCTGATGGCGTCGAACAACCGAACATCCCGCACTGCACCAGGTCGTCGAAGTCGACGGCGCTGGGCATGCCGATCGCCACACGGCCCGCCACGTACTTCACCAGCGGCGCGTACTGATGCACGAAGTACTCGCGGATGGACGGATCCGGCTGCCTGCGGTACTCGTTCCACAGGTCGTTCTCCGGCATCTTCTGCCAACGCGGATTCGCCTTGGTCACGAGCACGCCGCCTCCTGCGGATCGACGCCACGGCTCCCCCGTCCGTCGTCATCGGTCTCCCAAGCCATCGAGCTTGCACCATGCTAGCATGTATACATCAGCGCACGCAACCGCGGGCGAAAGAATGCCGGGGATGGATCGCGTATACGTTATCAGACACCAGTGGCAACCCGAAGGTAGATCCCCGAGTCGATAGACGCGCGAATGCTGGACTTGCCGTCGGCGCGGCAGGCCGCATGACTCCTGCGACCACGCTACAGGATGAATCGTGTCAGGTCCCGATCTTCGATGATGCCGGCGAGCCGTTCGTCCACGTACTGGGCGGTTACCGTGATCTGCTGTCCCTTGGCGTCGGACGCGTGGAAGGAGACCTCTTCGAGGATGTGCTCCAGTATCGTGTGCAGCCGACGCGCGCCGATATTCTGAGTGTTCGAGTTCACCTCGCACGCGACTTCGGAAATGCGCGCGATCGCATCCGGGGTGAAATCGAGCTCCACTCCCTCGGTCCCGAGCAGCGCGGTGTACTGCTTGATCAAGGCGTCTCCGGTTGCGTGAGGATCCGCTCGAAGTCCTCTCGGGACAGTTGCTGTGCAACTCGACGCGAATCGGAAGCGCCCCTGCAGTTCGGGGATCAGATCCGACGGTTTGGACATGTGGAACGCGCCGGCGGCGATTGAACAGGATATGCGTGGTGTCGACGACGCCGTGACGGGTGGTGACCTTGCCCCCTTCGATGATCGGCAGGATGTCGCCCTGTACGCCTTCACGGGAGACGTCCACCCCGTTGCGTCCCCCGCGCGAGGCGATCTTGTCCAGTTCGTCCAGGAAGACGATTCCATCTCCTGTACGCCGCTCGAGGCCATATCGACAACACAGGTCCCAGTCGACCAGGCGGTCGATCTCCTCGTTCATCAGCAACTGCCGCGCCCGCTTGATCGACGCCTTTTTCTTCTTCGTGCTCTTGCCGCCCAGGAGGTTCGGGAGATTGAAGTTGAGATCCATCTCCTCTACTCCCTGCCCGGACAGGATGGAAACATTCGGCATCTGCTGTGCGCTGAGGGGTTCACTCACCGGCCCGGATTCCAGGCTCGCCGGCGCGCAGCTCCTGTCGCGAAAGCTTGGGAGTGCTGTTGCCGACGGCCTCCGCGGCCGATGGGTCGCGCGGCGGTGCACCGCCCGAGTTGCTTGGCAGCAGCAACTCCAGCAGGTGATCTTCGACGCGGCGCTCCGCCTCTTCCTGGACGCCGGCCTGCTGCTCCGCCTTGACCATGGCGACCGCGACGGATGTCAGATCGCGGATCATGGATTCCACGTCGCGGCCCACGTAGCCTACCTCGGTGTACTTGGTCGCTTCCACCTTCAGGAACGGCGCACTGCACAGCTTGGCAAGCCGGCGCGCGATCTCCGTCTTGCCGACGCCGGTCGGCCCGATCATCACGATGTTTTTGGGCGAGATCTCATCGCGCAGTTCGCCCGGCAACCTGCGCCGCCGCATCCGATTGCGCAGCGCGATGGCGACCCGCCCCGTTCTTGCGCTTGCTGTTGGATAGTTTCTAGATTTTGTTTATTTTTATGACGTAGACGAGCTTGCCTAGGAACTGCAGTTCTGAGCACTTGGAGTTAGCCCATCAAGGTCAAAACTCTCACCTTGAAGCGAAACCTCACGCTCCATACGATAACACGTCTGGTATAAGCTACGCAGAGTGTAAGCCGCTATCCACATACATCGCCCGCCCGCTGCGATTCTAGAGCAGCACGGAAAGTCCGAAGACTTCCACGGTTAACGCCCGTTGTCCGCGGCGGCTGGACGTTACGCTCCTACCGAAACGATCCCGCACGATTCACGACTTGGTCCGGCTCCATGGCTACGTTCGCGTTGCGGTGATCAGAAAGTGGTGTGCGCGTCCCCTGGCCACAGCCAGCGCTTCGAGTCTGACCCGCAGGACCCGATTGAGGACAACGGCCTTCCTTGCCAGTTCCACCGACGCCACGCGTACAGGTTTATTACCGCCTCTTTCAGTACTCCTTCAACCTTCGACTCGAACCGTTCTCGAACAGCGCTGAAGCGTCCACCGCCGTGCGCCCGCCACGAATCCGACCTCCGCGATCTTGCCGCCCCTTATCAGCGTGCGCACTTGCGAGCGGTGCTCTTCACCCCGTCGCCTACAGATGAGGAACCCCTGACCGTCAGGTTCAGCCATCGCCAGCCAGTGCACGTCGAGATCGGACCGCGACAAAGTGGTTAGACATGCGCTCACGTGTCGCCCGCGTCCGATCGGCGCTTGGCATGGTATAATGTGGTGGCTATGCGAGATTTCCACCCCCCAGCGTTTAGTTCATCCCATCCCGCTTGGAGTCGGTCAAACACTGAGTATGGAGTGTACAATTGGGTGGTGGACAGCTCGCATGGCCGAGCAACTCCTGAACCGTCAGATGTCGGCCCCGCGTTTGAAGCGGTGCGTGGCTTGAATTTACTGTTTTCCGGCGGCGAACGGTGCGGCGACATAGGATTGAAGACATGGTGACGTAGCGGTTTTTACGCCAGCGCATGCAGCGTTCGCTCAGGGAGCTTCGCGCTCGGTTGAGAAAGACCGCGGGGTCTGAGAGGGATCGGATGAGCCGTGGATCGGTGCCGCAGGTATGCATGCATGCGAGTCGCTACGACCGGAGGCTCGGGTCAAGACTAGACACATGCGCTGCTTGCCTTGCCCTTTCGGTCGACGCGGGCGTACGAGCATCGATGCTGTTTGAGCTCGTCGTCGAGCGTTATGGCAGCCCGCCTGACCTCGGCAACCACGACAACGGTCGCGTAAGAGGATCTCCAGCAACGCGCATCGCGCGCCGCCAGCATGTCCCTCTCCCCGGCACCACAAGCACGGCCGCCGTCCTCATCCTCGAACAGGAACACCGGCAGCCGGAGTCGGGCGCAACCCGCGCAGACCCGCGGTTCGATCCGGCGTGTCGCGTCATAGCGCCGCAAAACCGGTAGAATGAGCGTACCGCGCTCACGCCGATTCACGGACCGCCTTTGTGGTCCAGGGCCGCCGCGTAACAAGGAAGCGATTTATAGCGACTGTACAGCGGCGGTGTCGACCGAGCTCGGGATCATCGGTGCCGACCGACCGCAGGGTAAAACGTATCCACTTCACGACCGATACGCACGAACGGTAGAGGGTCGATGTGGACGCCACCGCGACCAGATAGGCGATGACGTGGCAACATCCCACCACCGTAGCAATGGGTCCGGCGCCTCGCACAGTCGGAAACGCGTGACTGCGAGATGCCGCCTGCCTACCGCTGCACTCGTGGAGCCGCCGGCCGCCCGACGATCCGCGTTTGTGCGCGCGCCCGTCGCGGGGTGTAATGACCGGAGCGCCATCTGCCGCCATGCAGCTGCCGGCCGAACGGAAACCAACCTGCTTCGCCCAACGCGTGCTATGCACTCAGAACCTCGCGTGCACTGATCGAGGGCGCGTGTCGGCGGTGTGATGCTGCGCGTCCGGACATGCAGGCGCCTGAATGACGACCAGCGTCGTCGAAAGCCGCATGATGATCCGGTTGCCGCTCGGGAAGTGATGCCGCGCGGCTGCGTACCAAGCGGTACTCGGACAGTAGCAGGCCGCCGGAGGCGATCAGGCGTCCCGCGCAACCGACACGCTCGACGCCGGGTAGATCGTTGTCCACGCCGGTTCCCAGAACGGCGACCGTGCGGCCCCCGGCGGCCAGCGGCAGACACGAGTGCCTCTGCGTCGACGCCGCGCGCCAGCCCCGACACTACGGTCGCTCCCCGCCGCACGCATGAAATCCCATCTCGAAAGCCGCGCGCCGACGGCGCCCGAGAGGGCGACGGTGTTCGACAACGACAGATGTTCGGCGCGGTACAGAGAAGCTCAGGATAATTGCCACCGGTAGTACAGAGAAACGGGTGGATCGTAGATCGCCGTCAGCAGCGGCGGGTAGCGCACGCTACCATACAAAATGCACCCTCCGCAAGCTGCGTCAGCGCGAGCGCTCCCGCGCCGCGTCGCCAGGAATCGGCCCGGCTCCTCGGAAACGGCGCGCAGACGCCGACGATACCGCCTGCACCGCGCACGGGTGAGCCCCGCCACGGCCTCCACGTCCGCGGTGCGGCGAGAGCCGCAGCTTCTCCGTCGCGGTCAGGCAGCGATCCGATCGATTGCCAGGCGCGCGATGAGGAGATCCCGTCCGGCTCGTGCAGTGTCCGTCGGTCCGGCGGCTTCCCACGTTGCAACGGTACGCTTCGTCGGACTAGACAACGCAGGGATTCCGGGACGCTACTTTCCGGGGTGCGGCCCCCTCGGATGATGACGCCGATGCGCTTTCGCGCAGATCGGTCGGCCTCCAGGTGAGTATAGTATCGGGTGGTGGAGATGTCCGCCATGGCCGAGCAACTCCTGCACCGAACGCAGATCGGCACCGCCCCCACAGAGGTGGGTAGCGAACGAGTGGCGCAGCGCGTGCAGCTTGCCGGCAACTCCGGCGCGAACAGCGGCGTCCTGGAACCGTTTTCCACATCCTGCGAGCGTCAGCCGACGGCCGGAGCGGTTGAGAACAGCGCCGCCTCGCTGGCGTCTCGCGCCAGCGCCGGCCGTCCGTCGCGCAGGTACCCGCTGTACCCATCGAGCGCCGCGCCATCAGCGGCAACAGACGCTGCGCCCGCCCTTCCGGACACGGTGACGAACCCTGTTCCCGATGCAGCGAAGTCACCTGCAGCCAACGGCCTCGCTGACCGCAACACGCACCGAATAGATCCTCTCGAAACAACGCCCGATCGCGCAGCCCGACGGTGGCCCATGTCCACCGCTGCCAGCATCGGGTCCACCTCGACGGCTGATCGAGAACGGTGCAGCGCGCGTCGGACGCGGCGGCTCGACAACGCGGCAGGGTTGGTCCTCAGCCCTGCCCTCGGCCTGCAGGAATCGATACAGGCGCGTAGCGCGCACTCACCGATTTTGCGGCGGTGCGCGCGTCGATCCCTTCTGCTGCCGCTTCGACTCAGGTAGTCGATGATGTCGGCCGCGCGTGCGTCCGGCACGGAGATGCCGCGCTCGACGCAGAAGCGTTCGAAAGGATGCGGCATCCTGGTTGGCGCGAGTACGCTCGCGACGCGAGGTAGCCGCCAGCGCCAGTTCGCGTCAGGTGGACGCCGAATTCGGACGTCGAGCTCACTGCAGGCTCGGTCTGCGCAGCGCGGTGCTGCTCGCGAAGGCACCGCCGGGACGTTCAGATCGTCGTCTTCGCGCGCGCTGAACCCCGCTTGCGTCGTCCGCGTCCCCCGTTCAGGCGCATCCAGTCGTCATCAGGAGAACACATCGACCTCGCCGTCGGTCAGGTCGTTCCGGTGCGGGCGGCAGGCTCCCGATTGAAACACGGCGTGGCGACTCAGCCGTAACGCGACACGCTCATCGTTGAGGCTCGCGGTGGTCGCCATCCCCGCGGCATCACCAGCGCGTCCGCGGAGGCTGCGGTGATGATCTCGTCAGCGACATCCTCGTACTCGGTCACGGACACAGGCTTCGCCGCCGGTGCCACGTTGACCAGAATGCCCTGACGGCCCCGCGATGCGGGCATGTTCCCAGCAGCGGGATTGTTGATGGCGTGGTCGCGGCATCCATCCGCTCGCTTCTACGCGCCGTCCCCACGCCCACGCCACGGAGCGCATCGCCCTCTCCTTCATGACCGTGCGCACGTCGGCGAAGTCGAGTGTTGATCTCGCCCGCTCGTAAGTCAGGTCGGCACATGCCCTGCACCCCCTCGGGCGCAGCACGTCGTCGGCGAGATAGCAGCTCCTCATCGAGGTCTTCTGTCTCCACGACCCGCAACAGCAGTGATTGGGGATGATGATGAGGGTGTTCCACCTCCTTGCGCAGCCGCTCGATCCCCTCTTCGGCCAGCATCATCTTGCGGTTGCCTTCGAACTCGAACGGCTTGGTCACCACACCGACGGTGAGGATGTCGGCTTCTCGCGCCGTACGCGCGATCACCGAGCGGCTCCGGTGCCGGTCCCTCCGCCCATACCGGCGGTGATGAATACCATGTTGCATCGCGGAGCACCTCTTCGAGTCGTTGCTGATCCTCCAACGCCGCCTTCTCGCCGATTTCGGATCCCGCCGGCACCCAGACCTGCGGTAAGGCGTGACCCGATCGGCACTTCAGCTCCGATCGGCTGAGCTCAAGCGCCTGCAGCGTCGGTATTCACGCCAGGAATCGCACATTGCGAAGCCCTGAGGCGATCATGCGGTTACCGCGTTGCGCGCCCCCGCTACAAGAACCTGATCTCGGTGAGCGTCCTGGCTCCCCATCATGTATTTCGATCGTCATCGCTCCCCTCCTTCGATGAGCCGCATGCTCATATGAATCGCGAAACCAGCGCTTCATCCGGTCCCAAACGCTGTCGTATCCGCTCTTCACTGGTATCATGTCGAAGTGCTGCGGGCGGCGCTTGCCGTGGCCGTACATCACCAGACCTACTCCGGTCGCGAAACTGCGGACTGCGGTACTCTTCCACAGTCCGCCCAGCGGCGTCGGGATAGCCTATGCGGGCGGAGTCCCAACACCTCGGTTGCCAGCTCCGCCCACCGGCAGCAACGCGCCGCCGCCGGTCGACCGCGCCGCCACTCAGCAGCTTCAGGTGCCCGGAACGGTTCCAGTTGATCCTCACCATGCGAACACCTCGTCATCCGCGGGCGGATGATTTCCGTGAGGCGGCTCCGCTTGATGGGCCGCGCCGGGCGCCCGCCTACTCTGAATGCTGGCTTCGATCTCCCGGTCATCCAGATCGTCCGGATGACAGCTCCCCGCCTCGTGCTTCAGACGCTCGGCAACCTCCAGGGGCGTCTTCAGCATGATGGAGATGTCGCTCGTGACCTGGTCCCCGCCGAGAGCCAGCACGCCGGTTTGGTAGGGCGCCCCGTCCAGATAGACCAGGATGTCGGTGGTGCCGCCGCCGATATCGACCAGCAACACGCCCAGCTCCTGCTCGTCCTTGCTCAGCACCGCCGCCGCGGCCGCCAGCGGCTCCAGGACAATGTCGTCAGCCTTGAAGCCGGCGCGATTGATGCAGCGAATGATGTTCTGCGCCGACGACACCGCACCGGTGATGATATGCACCTCCGCCTTCTCCAGCCGCACGCCCATCATCCCCACCGGGTCCCGGACGCCGTCCTGCTGATCGACGGTGAACTCCTGCGGGATGACGTGGACGACCTCGCGGTCCATCGGTATGACGATCGCCTTGGCGGCATCGATCACGCGCTCCACGTCCTCACGCGTGATCTCACGGTCCCTCCCGGTGACCGCCACCACGCCCCGCGAGTTGATCCCCTCGATGTGGCCGCCGGCTATGCCGGCGAAGGCTCCGGTAACTTCGCGGCCGGACATCATCTCGGCGGCCTCGACAGCGTTCAGAAGCGACCGGACCGTGGCGTCGATGTTGATGACCACGCCGCGGCGCAGCCCACGTGACGGAGTGGTGCCGACGCCGATGATCTCCAGGCGGCCTTCGTGCCCGATCTGCGCGATGATCGCGCACACCTTGCTGGTACCGATATCCAGTCCGACGATCAGGTCGTCCCGTGCCACGCTAACTCACCGCCCTAGGCGCCCGCCGACCGCGCCCGCGGCGCGGCCGCCTGCGATCGTGACGCAGCCGACTCGACATAGACGGCCTCACCGGCGCGGAAATCGATCTCCGACGGCAGGTGTGAGATGCCGTCGGCGCCGAGCACGTCGAGCGCCACGAAGGCATGCCGGATAGCTTCCACGTCCATGCGCGGACCCAACCGCACCGCCACCGGATAGATACTCGGATAGAACGACAGGTCGAGCGCCCCCGCGTCGGTGGTGGTCACCACCACCTCCGAAATCAGGCCGTACAGACTGGAGTCCCGATCCCGGATGGACGACGCCATGGCGGGGGGGGGGATGTGAACAACCGCTTTTCGCGCCCAACCAAGGATAATGCGGGAGAGATGTTGCACCCACAGTTTCCCTGCGGGTACACTGCCCCCCCCCCCCCCACACCACGGAGGTGCGACACACGATTCGGCAGATCGGCGATCGTGCCGGGTCAACCTCGATGACGACCCCGGACGCGTCGAACACCACCGCCACGCTCCGGCCGTCAATCGTCGCCAGCGACATGGCCAGCGGCCGGCGCCGCACCACGTTGACCTCCAGCGTGCCGGGGATCCGCGTTCGGACGGATGCCGTTTGCACCATCGGATGCGCGGCTATCCGTGCGGCGATGGCATGCGTATCGACGTCGAACACGTGATCGGTGCCGTCAAGTCCCGCGATGCGTTTCAACTCCACGGTCGAAAGCGGAAGGTCGCCATAGACGACGATCCTCTTGATCAGCAGCTGAGGGGCGATGAAGCCGCTGATCAGGATCTGGGTCAGGAGTCCCACGACCACGACGCCGCCGATCAGCAGCACCGCCCGTGCGGCCCTACGCAGCCAGAGGCTCACCATGGTCGCAGACCCGAGCTGGAAACGCCGCATCCGTCGCGAGGATGACCGCCGCCACGTGCGCGGCTGAGGCGCGCACAGGACGCCGGCCATCGCAAGCGTCATCACCATGGCCGATCCCCCGGAGGAGAACAGGGGCAACGGAATCCGGTCGCCGGCAGCAGGCCGGCGACCACGGCGATATTGGCGAATGCCTGCACGGTGACGGACGTGGTGACACCACACGCCAGGTAGGCGTCGAAACGATCCGAGCATTACGGATCTATAGCGCGGGAAGCGACGCCACGAAAAAGCAGCACGATCACGACGCCGATCAGCCCGGTCTCCTCGCCGACGACCGCGAAGACGAAATCGGAATGGATCTCTGGAACTTCGACGAGCTTGCGTACGCCCTGTCCCAGACCAAGCCCCGTCAGCCCGCCGGAGGTCAGCGCCTGCCGCGCCGCCAGCATCTGGTAGCCAGATCCGGTCGGATCCGCCTCCGGATTGAAGAACGATATCACCCGCTCGACGCGATGCACACGCGTGAAGATCATGATCACCGCCAGCGGGAGACCCACCGACGCCAGGGCGACGAAGTACCGGAACTGCACACGGGCTACGAAGAAGATGATGCCGGTTACCAGCATCAGCAACGCAGAGGTGAAACAGGAGTGCTGGAACCGGGAGATCAGCGACCGCGAAGGACGCCACACGATGACCGGCGGCAGCAGCGTGTTCACCGCGTCGGTCTGGCCTTCGTACTTGCGCGACAACATCGATGCCAGATAGAGGACCAGCGTAAACTTGACCAGTCTCCGACGGTTCATACGAGATCCCGGCCACCAGCAGCCAGCGTCGGCCCCCTGAATCGGCGTGCTGATGCCCGGAATCAGAGTAAGCGTCATCAGAACGGCCGACAGGGCAAGCAAGGGTATCGACAGGCGCTTGAGCACCTCGCTGTTCACGCGTGAGGCTGGCCACCACTGCGACGATCGACCCATGACGATGACAGCCGCTTAGGCGCCCCTGACGAAGAGACAGCGAGTCGCCGAACACCCGCGACGCTCCGCGTAGTAGTAGTGCGACGCCGAGAGGAGTACCCCAGTCGAGGCCGTAAGCGTGATCAGGATGCCGATACAGCGTCAGATCGACCGGCGCGCTCGCCGGCGCATCGCCGTTAGCCATCGCCGGGGCCTCTCGCGATCGTGGGGGTCGACGCCGAACACCGGAGCAAACCGTTCGATGTGCCGAACGCGCAGTGTCCGTGAGCCTCACGCAGCACCAGATACGCCGTCCAGGACGATGGCGCGCAGCCTGTCGTCGATCTCTTCCATGGTTTCCGTCCAGATCGCGCGGTCGTAGCCGGAGCACCCGATCTCCCTGGCGAACGCCTGGCAGAGCGGACGCGTGGCCGCGCCGAAGCAGCACAGGACATCCACTCCGGCGTCGATCAACGGTCGCAGCAGATCGACATGCGCGCGGGCGCTGTAACGCCCGAGCTCCAGCATCGGCCCAAGCACCACCACCCGACGAACGGCCCGATCACCGGATTCCGGCCGCGGAACCGCGTCGCGGACCCGTGTCGCCCGACCCCGCGTCGCCGACCCCGCGTCGGCCAGCACGGCCAGAGCCGCCCGGACCGATCGGGGTTGGCGTTGTATCCGTCGTCGATGACGGTGCACCGCGCACGACGCACGCGGAGGCGGCCGGGCGCCGGTCGTACGGCTTCGATGCCCGCGGCGACGGTTGCCGGATCGCACGCAAGCTCCGTCGCCACGGTCAGCGCCGCCAGTGCGTTGTCAAGGTTATGGCGACCGGGTAGAGAGAAGCGGAATTGGAGCCCTTCCCAATGGATGGACCAGCCATCCAGCCCCAAATTCTCGCTTCGCTCATACCCGATCGTCGAATTCGATCCAAAGCGAACGACCTTGGCGCGAACACCGGCCAGCAGCAGATCGGCCGCCGGTTCCCCCTCCCGCAGGTAGACGCGACCGGCCGGCGCGACCGATCGCAGCAACGCGCCCTTTTCACGCGCGATATCGCGCGGGCTGCCGAGCCGACCGATGTGCGCGCTGCCGATGTTGGTTATCACCGCAGGTTCCGGCCGCGCCAGCGCCGCGTAGCGCTCCATCTCGCCCACCGAGGAGATGCCGACCTCGAACACCGCAAAGCGCTCGTGGCCGGTCATGCGCAGCACCGACATCGGCAAGCCGATCTCGGCGTTGAACGACGCTTCCGACACCAGGCTGCGGCTGCCCTGGCGAAGGATCGATCCCAGAATTTCCTTCGTCGTGGTCTTGCCGCTGCTGCCGGTGACGGCGATGCGCACCGCTTCACAATGGGCGACGCTGTGTCCGCAGTGCCAGGTCGTACAGGGCGGTCAGCGGGTCGTCGACCGCGATCAGCGTGCCGGGCCCGCCCCGCTCGGTCGTGCCAAGCTCGGTCGTGCCAAGCTCGGTCGTGCCAAGCTCGTTCGTGCCAACTGCTCGGTCGTGCCAAGCTCGATGTGACGGTCCTGGCGCACCAGCGCCGCCGTGGCGCCCCGCCGAAAGGCGTCGTGCACGAAGTCATGGCCGTCGGCGTGCTGACCCCGCAGGGCTACAAACAGCGACCCGGATCGCGCACGACGCGAATCGTTGGTCACGGTACACACGCGCGCGTCGGCGTGGCCGCGGAATCCGGCACCGAGCATGCCGGCGATCTCGTGCACGGTGTAGTTCATCGTCACGTCGTCCCCTGCCGCTGGACGACGGCCTGCGCCCCCGGCTCGACGATGGTCACGAGGTCCGCGCTGATCGGTGCCAGTCCCAATTCCCGCTCGGCGAGCTCCGCTATGCGTTGCGGCGACCGGTAGATCGCGATCGAAATCAGCAACCGCTTGTTCTGCTCCAGCCACTCGGCCTGCTCGTGCTCCAGTGCCCGCAGCTCCTGGGCAAGAAGATGCCGGTGCAACCCGCTCCAGGTGGTCACCAGCACCGCCAGCGGAATCATCAGCGCCACGAAGATCGTGAGCAGCCGTTGGCGTCCGGCGGTGACGGTCACGGAACTCGCTCCAGCACGCGCAGGCGAGCGCTGCGCGACGCCGGGTTGGTTTGCACCTCGGCGTCGCTCGGCACCTCGGGCCGTTTCGTCAGCGCGGCCACGTGAGCGTTCTCGGCCGGATATCGTTTCACGATGCCGTCGTCGATCGAGTGAAAGGCGATCACGGCAAGGCGACCGCCCGCACGCAGCGCTCCGGCGGCGGCGTCGAGCGAGCGCCGCAGCCTCCCGACCTCGTCGTTGACGGCTACGCGCAACGCCTGGAACACCTGGGTGGCCGGATGATGGCTTCCCCCGCGCCACGGGGTGCGAGCCAGGATAGCGCGTGACAACTGGTAGGTGGTCTCGATCGGTTGCCGCTCGCGCGCGCGCTCGATGGCCTGTGCGTTCGCACGGGCGTTCCGGTCACCACCGTAGCGGGTCAGCAGGTCGCACAAGTCGGAACGCGAGCTGCGGTTTATCAGATCGGCCGCGGATACGCCGTGACGCGGGTCGAAGCGCATGTCCAGCGGCTCGTCGCGCAGAAAAGAAAAGCCCCGCGCGCTGCGCTCGATGTGGAAGCGACACATTCCCAAGTCCATGAGGATCAGATCCGCCGTACCGGGGGCCAGCCCGCCCAGCACCTCATCGGACCACGCCTGTCGCAGCCGGCACCGCCCGGCATATGCGTGGAGCCGCTTGCGGCTGCGCGCCAGCAATGCCGAGTCGGCATCGGATCCGAGCAGCAAGATGTCCGGATAGCGGTCCAGCATCGCTGCGGCGTGACCCGCTTCGCCCAGGGTGACGTCGACGAACGTGCTGGACGGACGCGGCGGCCGCAGACGATCGACCACCGCCTCCTGCAGCACCGGCACGTGAGTCGGTTCGCCATGGTCGTCATTCAGAGCGTGATGCTGCCGCCGATCTCCTCGGCGGCCTCCTTGTACTGGTCATCCGTCTCCAGCTCGTAGGCCCGGTAGTCGTAGTAGCATCTTCGTCCACACCTCCACATAGCTGTTGATGATTCCGAGCACGATGCAGTCCTTGTGCAATCCGGCGTAGTGGCGCAGAGTGGGCGAAATGGCGATCCGCCCGCTCCGATCGATCTCGATCTCCTGTGCGGGAGCAAGGAAGCGTCGCTGGATCATGCGGTCCCGCGCCAGGAACAGTGAGGAAGACCCCACCACCTTGGTGGAAACCTCCTTCCACTCCTCCGGCGGAAACAGCCACAGGCATCGATCGATCCCGCGGGTCAGGACGATCAGGTTGCCGGCGATGGACCTGCGAATCGGGGCCGGCACCATCAGCCGACCCTTCTCGTCCATGGCGTACCGGTACTCGCCTGATATCACGCCGTCATCCTCGGGACACGAAGAAGGCCCCTACCGAACGGGATCCCCCACGATTTCCCACTTTCTCCCACGAAGTTCCTATATTAGGTAGCCCCCGCCCAGTGTCAACTACCGAATGGCTACTGATCGGCTCTCAGCCGCACAACCGGGAAATGCCAGGCCACAATAGTAAACATTTGTATGGTTCAAGGCCTATCGCATCCGATTTGACACCGCAGACGGGGCGCCTTTACCTTTGGCAGGCCCTGACGCAGAGAGCCCAGTGACCCTATATCGAGTACACTTCAGGTGGCGGAACAAGGAGGTGCAGCTCGTGGCGGAGAGCCTGGACCTCACCCATCCCTACTTCGTGTCGATCAAGGGGATCATCTTCGAAGAGGATGAGAAGCTCATCATCAACCCCTCCGAGGAGGAGATCCGACGCACCTTCGGCGATGCCTCGCACCTGATGATCCCGTTTCAGACCGTCTCGCTGATCGAGGAGTTCGCAGCGGACTCAGGCTCTCGCATCCGCCCCTTCACGCTGGTGGAAGAATCCTCCGAAGAAATCGACGAACAATCGGACGAGGGCGGCGGCGAGCAGACCCTGTAGCCCGAAGAATAGAGGGAGTAAAGGAAGTGAGAAAAGGAGCAAAGCTGAAGAAAAGTGGAGATAAGAGAATGAATAAAGGGAGACTAAGAGATAGAATAGCAGGAGAGAATAGAGT